GAGAGAGAGAGAGAGAGAGAGAGAGAGAGAGAAATAAATGAAGGCGAGTGGCACCTAAGGAAGTTGCAAGAGGTAAGCAGGGAGGGGAGGAAGGAAGGGTAATCAAACCCTTGCCCCTGTATCCCCATCGCCTTGTCCATCCAGCGAGGGCCCCTATCCAGGCCCGGCTCTTCCCCGACCGGACTCTGAGAGCACTGTGGCCCACTGTCTGTCTCCTCCAGCCCGCCACCTCACTTGCCCATTCCGGAAAGGAACTGCAGGCAACGCTCGGGACCCCTGGCCTTACCCGGTGCAGAGACTGGATCAGAAACGAGGACAATTGGGAGGTAGGTGGAGGAGGGACAGGGGCCTGGAGGAGGTGGGCACTCACTTAACAGAGGCGGCGCTAGGCCAGCGGCGTCCCAGCTTGGCCAGCTGCTTCCTGGGAGAATTGATCCACAAGCCCACGGGGAGGTGGAGCTTCCCGAAGCGGGGGCTTCCGCCCTCTTTCCGTTCACCAGATAGCATGGCCCTGAAGAAGGATGGGTAAGACCCCAACTCCTGAGTTCCCGAGTAGTGGGGTTTGGGATGGAGGGGCCTGGGGCTCAAACTCCTGAGTCTGGGTGGAGGAGAAGGATGCGAGCTAAGCTCCTAGGTGCTGGGATGGGAGATGGGTGGGGACTGGCCACTGGGTCTGAGGGAGGAGGGGTCTGGACTCCTGGCTCCCCGGTTCTTACCCTGCTTCAGGTCCCAACAGCACCCCGGGGCCCTGGCTCCGTTGGCCCTGGTTGCTTCCTGACCCCGCTGTTCCCGTTCAGCCTTTGCCTCTGTCCCGGCTCCCAGCACTGGGTGGGGGACAGGAAAAGGCGAGAGGAAACCCGGCAGGAAGAGCTGGGAGGGGGCGTCCTGTGAGGGGACCGGGCCTGGGGGAGGAGATCTGCGGAGGGCAGGCCCTTCTCTACTCCTTGATTCTGGAATTACATCTCAGCTAGTTGGGCACTGCCTTGACACAGGGAACTGACTTCCCAGTCTCTCCGAGGACAGGAGACCCGCCCCAGAGCTCTCCTCTCGGGAAGCCAAAACTGAGAATCTGACCGGAGAAAATGAATCCGATATTTAGGCAACCAGATAAATCTTTATTTAAGCCTTGGTGCTGTGGCCTTTTCTTCGTTCGGTACCTTGGGAAGCTGGGTCTGTGACACCTGGCTCTGTGATAGCTGGGTCTGTGACAGCCGACTTTGTGGACCCTGGTCCTCTGGGGCTGCTGCCTTGTCGGTACGGACCCAGGACTTGACCGAATCGATCAGGGTCCCAGACCTAAAGCAAAGTACGCTGGGGAAGGGGGGGGTGCGATCGTGTAAGCAGATTAGGTCCTGAGTGAGGGACACCCCTCCCAGCCTCCCTATATCTGATCCTTTTCTATGACCCAAGCTTCGCCGCCCTGGGTAAGCACGCCCCTCTTTTCTAAGCCCCTCCCCCTAACACCTCCTCCTACGTCAGGACGTTGGAGACCCCGCCCCTCGCCCCAAGCCCTGCCTTCTCCCGGAGGCGGCTCACGAGGTGGCAAAGCCAAGGATCAGAAACACAAAGCCCCAGATCAGCATCTCGAACAGAAAGCCTCTCAGCACGTCCTTGGGATTCAGACACTCTGACGGCTTGAGGGATCGGAACCGCTGATACTGGGTCCTGGGCTTTGATTTCGGGATCTCCTCAATGACTCTTTTGGGCAACACTGACAGAGGAGAGAGAAGGAGCAGTCCTGGGAGGGCCGGTCGTGGCCCAGGCAAGCTCTGTCCACGCCACCCTTCCCCAGGACCCAGGCCTCCCAGGAGATAAGCACGCCCCTCACTGCCTGAAGCCAGGCCACTGTGAGAGGTGGCCGCACCCTGGGCAGGAAGCCACCCCCCCCTTGGCCTGAAACCACACCCCGACAGAAAGTTAGGCCCCCCAGGGCGCTCGCTGAAGCTGACTGCCCCCCAAACCCAGGACCCTGAGTCCCATACGTCTGTCGACTCCCCAGCTCTGACCTGTGACTTCAAAATGGATGATCGTGGCTGGGCCGGATCGCTCAGTGCCCAACTCGCAGCGGTAGTTACCCGCATCCTCTGGCCTCACCAGTCGCTTGATCAGGGTGGGCCGTTTCCCCTCGGACACCAAGGTCTCAGAATTGCTCCCCCAAACCTAGACCCAAGCTCAAGGGGTCACAGAGGCCTGGGGAATTCAGGGTTTGGGGCAGTACAGGTGTGAGGGCATCACGGGCTCTCAGTGGGGATGATGGGAGTCCAGGGTCACTGGTAAGGGCATGGGGTCCCCGGGGATCCCTAGAAGTCACACCTGGTGGGTCATGGGTCATGGGGATTGTGGCAACAAGCTTGTGGATGAGGGGGTCGGCGCTCACACAAGCCTTATGGACTTGGGGTTAAAGGGCCCACCCTGTAAAAGCTGTAATAGGTCAGGCCTTGAGATAATTTATGCCAGTCGAGCTCACAGTCCAGGATCAGGTCTTCCGTTTCATGGACGTTGATTTGGCGCACTGGGGACAGGATTTACGGTGGGACACTTCTTGGAGGTTTCCGGCCCTCCCGCCAGTGCCACCCACTTTGTCTAAGCCCCCCTTTCTGTCTCCACCCTCCGCTCCAGTCCCCGCCCTCTCTAGGCCACGTCTCTCCTCTGGCTCCGCCCCTCTTGCGCCAACCCCTGCGGCTGCCCCAGCTCTCTCACCCCCACAATCTCTGGATTTTCGACAAACGTGAAGCTGCTTTTTACAGTTACTGCACCAGATCAGAAGCTGCAGCATTGTACCTGAAGGGACAGGATCCAGCCTGTATTCGCCCTGAGAGGCGAGGCTAAAGGCAGGGCCAAGGTCTGGGGCGGAGTCAGGCGCCTAATCCCTAGAGCTCAGCCCAAGGGGCGGGGCTAGAAGGCAGTCCTCCCTGAAGAGGAGTGGAACCAGTCTCAGGAAAGAGCGCCCAGAGAATAAGACCCGTTGCCCAGGAAGTCCGCTGTGCAGAAGGACTACTGGGGACCAGGAACCTCTCAGACGTGGGGAAGGAAGAACCACCGAGACCCAAAGCCAGAGGAGAAAGGCTGGGTATTCACGGTGCAAGGATGAAGGATAGAGAGCCAGGTCCCGTAATCCGGACTCACCACATTTGTTGGGACAGAAATCTGCCTCAGAAGGAAGAAAAAGCAAAACAACAACAAAAAAGGATTATCAGATTCCTGTTAAAGGAGATGAGAGGGGGGAGAAGGAATAGGTTGCGTTTGGGCTCTGGGGATGGAGGGAAGAAGGACACGGATGTCTGGATCTCTGGGTCCCAGGGAGGACGCGGTGGGGAGAAGTGAGAGGCTGGACATAGAAAGCAGGGGCTGGGGACTTAGACCCTGGACGTGTTGGGGGAAGGGGCCGTGGTCCCTGACAGAACCCATCTTCCCCCACCCTTTCTTTGGAACCGAGCGACATAGCCCTGAAAGGCTGCCTTTTCCAGAGTCAACATCCAGGAGAACTCGTTCACGAAAGTGTCATCTGGGAAGGAGCAGGGTGACATAGAGTGGTACCCCTCCCCCGCCCACCCCAGGAGGAGATGCAGGAAGTTGGCCTCCATCTGAAGAGGCTGGCGTTCCACCTTGGGGCCATCTCAGGGAGGGACAGTGACATTGAATGACCACTTAACAATGCGGGCCACTGAGCTAAGCGGC